GGATTTAGCTTCATTATTTTTGTGCTTTTGGAAAATACTTTACTTATTTAATAGTCCCGACTCTTTGGTAAAAAATTTAAAATTATTAAAAATTCGAAAAAATTCAAAAATCCGAATTTCTTAAAATTCAACATTTTTTCCTCTCTTTTATGGGATTTAGCTTCATTATTTTTGTGCTTTTGGAAAATACTTTACTTATTTAATAGTCTCGACTCTTTGGTAAAAAATCGAAAATTATCAAAAATTCAAAAATCCGAATTTCTTAAAATTCAACATTTTTTCCTCTCTTTTATGGGATTTAGCTTCATTATTTTTGTGCTTTTGGAAAATACTTTACTTATTAAATTGTCTTTACTCTTTGGTAAAAAATCTAAAATTATCGAAAATTCGAAAAAATTCAAAAATCCGAATTTCTTAAAATTCAACATTTTTTCCTCTTTTTTATGGGATTTAGCTTCATTATTTTTGTGCTTTTGGAAAATACTTTACTTATTTAATAGTCTCGACTCTTTGGTAAAAAATCGAAAATTATCAAAAATTCAAAAATCCGAATTTCTTAAAATTCAACATTTTTTCCTCTCTTTTATGGGATTTAGCTTCATTATTTTTGTGCTTTTGGAAAATACTTTACTTATTTAATAGTCTCGACTCTTTGGTAAAAAATCGAAAATTATCCAGATTCTGTAGGAACCCTGCTTTTGTCTGACTTTCTTCTAAGTTATCGAATTCAGTGATTTCTGGGGTGAATTTGGTTAAGTTGTAAAATGATTAATTTCTATTTGAATTCGTTTTTTTTGAATGTAGAAAATCTGATGTTAATTTAATTTTTTTTTCGTTATGCACGGCAGAAAATATTTAGCTGGATAAACTACAGATTTCACTTTAGTAGCGAAATTATTTAGTGCTTCAATTAATACTTTCGTTATTCTAGAGAAACTTATCGCTATTTCAAGTAAAACTTTTTTCAGTGTGTAATAATTATTATTTCTTTAAAAAGTATTTAATTTAAAATGGCTTTATAAAATAAGCAATGCAAAAGATGACCCAGATACTAATTGGAATTGTTCTATCCATAGTTTAAGTCTAGTAATGTAAATTCTATTTAAATTGAGACCATTGAGTGAAATTATTTGAATTTTAGTTAGTTAAATCTCTTTGTTAGGTTATAATAATTATTTCTTTAAAATTTTTTAAATTGTTTAAAATAAGCAGCCCCATACAACATTCCCGCGAGTTTGGCTAGTAAATATATAATAAACAATAATATAAAAATATAATTTATAAAATAATAAATAGTATTTAAATAAATAAAAATTAATTTATGAAATTTTTTTTTGTAAAATTGCAGCAACCGTGCTGCAAGCTTGCAATACCCTTGCAGCATATACATTCAAGGGGACATATTTTACAAAGAAGCGAATTTTTTAAATTAATAATCATAAAAATTAAATTGCACTTTGAAAAGAGGAAATATATAAATAAATAAATGCATTTTACCAAGAAAGAATATTTTGCATGCGTGATGGCGTTCAACGATTATTATTATTCTTATTATTCGTATAACTTGAGGCTCGATCACTCAACGAGAAAATTACCCATGGAGAATTGACGATGAGATTATTGGTAAAATGAGGACCAATAATTAGAGACAGATTATCGTGTGTTTGTTTTACTGACTGGTCTCAGAGTAAAATGCAGGTGTTTTGTTACCTATAGCAAGTTCTCTCTCTCTCTCTCTCTCTTTCCGAACTCTTTCTCTTTCTTAAAAAAAATTATTAAAATATAATAATATTAATAACCTTTCGAAGAAAAAATTATTTTTACGATTTAATAAATATTCTTTGTTTTTAAAGAAAGCTGGCTGCAAATAATTATATTTTGTTAAATTATACATCTCTCTAAAGGCCCCACCCCAAGGGGCCGTTACATTACGTCAAGTTAGACATTATCTTTCACTTTCAGGTCAATTTTCAATTAAAATTATTTAAAATTCGAATTTTTTTTTAAAATTTCAATTTGAAACCTCTTGAAATTCATAATAATTTTTAAGAACTATGTGATTTTTTCAACAAAATTATTTTCACAATTTCAAATTTAATTATATTTTGAAATTTTTATAACTAAAATTTGTTTCGAACAAAAAAAAATATAAAAAATATTATTATTAAAAATACGCAAATTTGATTTCAGAAATATAAAGATAAAAGTGCAATTAAAAATTAAATTAATTATTAAATTTATCAAAATTAAAATTGAAAATACATTTTTAATAACAATTTTATAAACAATTCACAATTATTTACACTTTCTAGAGCAAAAATTATAGAAAAATTTATAGGAAAATCGAGTAATTTAATTGGAATATTTGGAATTATATTGAAAAAAAGTAATTGAATTTTTGTAAAGAATTTTATCAAAATTGTTAAAAATAATAATTGTATTTCTTAGAAAAATTGTTTTAAAAATTTTATAGAATAACTGAAATTTTTCTAGAAATCTTTTTATTTTTCAAAATAATTGAATTTTTGTGAAAGAATTTTTTTATTTATGAAAATAATTGAATTTTTCTGAAGAATTTTATTATTTATAGAAATAATTGAATTTTTCTGAAGAATTTTATTATTTATGTAAATAACAATTAAAAACCTGCAGTTTTAACATTAACATTTTAAATTACGACTTTATATAGCGTAAAAAGGAAAAACGTGGCTTTTTCACATGTTTCATTAGTACCTATTTATTTTGAAGCTTTTTATTGATTTTTCGACTTTGGATATTTTTATTTTGGATTTTTTGTACCTTGGACATTTTTTCTTGGAATTTTAGGTCTGGATTTTTTTGATTGAATTTCTTGTCCTGCAATCATTGTAAACTAATGATTTTCATAAATGTTTTCAATTTTAAAGAAACAAATAAAAAACTTTAGTTTATGAGTTAACGTGGTCTGACAATTTACGCACGTGAATCAGTTTTGTTCGGCGTTGGTGCATGCGCAGTAGTGTAAAATTAACACTTACGCATGCGCACGGGTGTATTACGACGCTAACAGATGCGCAGTAGCGTAAAACTTATTTTCACGCATGCGCATTAATATTTTAACTATTATTATTACTGTATACGAGTAAAAATATAATTATTTCTACTGTGTTAATGAAAATTACAATATAATTCGCAATTTTAGTTTGAAATTAATAATAAGAAATGAATAAAAAAAGAAAAATAGAGTTTCTTTATTTAGAGTTTCTAAATTTATTAAATGAGTAGTAAGACAGAGGAATATACCGTTTTGGTTATTATTATTATTATTATTATTATTTTTTATAACGAGTATATAGATATTGCTTTTCTGATCCTATCTTACTTTTCTTTTTTCTTTCTCTTCTTAGGATTGCAATTTGGTTAACGAGAGTAAAGAAGGGAATACGTATAATTATACAATCAAGACTTTGGGTCCGGAGAGTGAATTCCCCAGCATCCGAGAGACTTCTTCGCCTCTCTCTCTCTCCTTCTCTTCTCTCCCACTCCACTTATTCGTTTTCAAGGCGACCCTGAACTTTCTCAGGTACTTAAAACAGGCCCAAACTCACGACTATGTTCGAGAAGCATTGAGGAGAAAGAGAGAGAGAGAGAGAGAGAGAGAGAGAGAGAGAGAGAGAGAGAGAGGCTGGGACTAAAGAGCGTTCCTTTGCGTTTGCATGTCCTGCGACCGGTTTGCTGGTTTTAGGTTTCATCGAATTTGTACGCGACGATTCTCGCACGCCGGGAGCCTTTTAAAATAATTATTTGTTAAAGAAAGCCACATTTTTCTTTGTCGCCAGAAATTAACGAGGAGGGAGAGGGAAAACTTAAGATATTTTTTTTTTTGGGGTTCTTTCTCTAAATATTATTTTTGTAACCCCTCCCCTTTTCTCTATATTTTTTTTACTCTTTTTTCTCTAAATATAATTACGACCTCCCCCTCTCACTTTTTTTATGCCCTTTCCTCCTAAATAGAAAATTACCCCCCCTCTAATTTTTCTAAATATAATTACAACCCCCCCCCTATCCTATTCTCTTAGTGTTTTCTCTAAATGTAATTCCTCTAATTTTTCTAAATATAATTACAACCCTCCCCCCCTATCATATTTTCTTAATGTTTTCTCTAAATGTAATTTTTGAACTCTGGTTACTATTTTGAATTTTGAAAATCTGACTGTAGATCCGTAATCAGCGACCCTGAAAACCCCTGAGTAATCAATTTTATGCAGATTTGAGCAATTTTGAAAAATATGTCCGCCATATTGGATCCGCCATTTTGGATTTTGAAAATCTGACTTCAGATCCGTAATCAGCGACCCTGAAAACCTCTGAGTAATCAATTTTATGCAAATTTGAGCAATTTTGAAAAATATGTCCGCCATATTGGATCCGACATTTTGGATTTTGAAAATCTGACTTCAAATTCGTAATCAGCGACCCCGAAAACCCCCGAGTAACAAGTTACAATAAAATCTACTTACTTTTTGAGTAGAAAAATGTCAATTTTTTTTCTCTGTAATAGTTGGTTGTTTAGCTTGTTGGTTAGGGTCCTTGGTTTGCGTCCGTCAAACCCGGGTTCAATTCCCGTCGCCTAGAATTTTTTTCGAAAATATTTTCCATGAATATTAAGTTCTAAATTCTAAAATAAGACAAAGGCACAAATAATGAGAATGAACGTTAAGAAAGATTTTCGAATTAAAAAAATAAAATGAAAAAAAAAAATTTTTCCTGTGGACAGTTATATTATTATTCATTTTTGAATATATGAATAAGGTTTTTTGTATTTTGATATTTAAAGAAAAAATTTTTTTGTCAAAAAATTGAAATTGCATAAGAAAAAATACTTATTACTCGTAGTTATGCAAATAAATTTTAAAAATATAAAAAATTGTAAAATATAAAATTAAATAAAAATAAATCATAAATAGTGTATAGGTATATTTTTAGCTTTTCTAAAATGAAAATTTTTCTATTTTTTCCAGGTGGGTGGTAATTTGCGCCTGGTGGTGTATAGTGGCGAGAAAATGGACTAAATCACCGGATAATTGTAAGGAAAATGGATTTGGCTTGCAACATGGATTTTCAACTGTGGGTTCGGTTGCAGCTTGGGGACTTCCGGCTGCGCATACTATTGCTGTTTTAGTAACGAGAGACGTTGACGCTGATGAACTCAGTGGTAAGTGTATAACATTTAATGTAAATTTTATGTAACTATAATGCAACTTTTATGCAACTTATACAAAATTTTTTTTTTATATTTTCATTTTTATTTCCTTTGCCAATGATTATATTGTTTTTGATGTTGCTTCTCGTTTTTGTTTTAAAATTTTTTTATCTTTTGTTTTGTTTTTATTTTGAACAACATTGTTTTCGTTAGGCTTTTTTTGTTCTCTTTGTAAATATTATTTTGTTTTTGATTTTCTTTTCTTTGTTGTTTGTTTTCCGTTTTGTTGGTTTTCTTTGCCAAACATTAATTTTGTTTGTTATTCGTTTTGTTTGGTTTCTTTTCCTTGATAAATATTGTTTTTTTCTTGTTTATTGTTTGTTTTGAGTTTTCTTTGACACAAATTGTTGTATTTTTAGTTTTTGTCTTGCTTTCTTTTTTGTATCTTTTGTAAATAATATTTTTTTTCGATGTTTTGATTTTTATTTTGTTTCCTTTGAAAAAAAATGTTCAACTTTTGTTTTCATTTAGCTTTGTTTTTTGTTTCTGTTGTAAATATTAATTTTATATATATTATTTTCTTAAGTTGTCGTGGCTGCGTGGTAAATCACTTGCGTTGCGCTTCTAAAGTCCTGGGTTCGAATCCCCCTGAAAATACTTTTTCAATTTCATCTATTTTTAAGTATTAAATATATTATTTTCTTTGCTGTTTGTTTTCGGTGTGATTTAGATTCCTTTTGACGAATATTGTTTTGTTTTCTTTGCTGTTTGTTTTTGTTTTTTGTGGAAAATATTGTTTTGCTTCTTTTTATTGTTCGTTTTTTGTTTTCTTTGCCAAAAATTGGAGTATTCTTAGTTTTCGTGTTGCTTTGTTTCTTGCTTTTTTTGTCAAAGAAATCATCATCAAAAACATATTGTTTGATTTCTTTGTTTTTTGTTTCCTTTGTAAATATTATTTTGTTTTTGATTTTGTTTCCTTTGCCAAATATTGTTTTCCTTATTTTTTATAGTTTGTTTCTTATTTTCTTTGACAAAAATTGTTTTTTTTGTTGTTCATTATTCGTTTTGTTTGATTTTAACAAAAATTGTTTTGTTTTCTTTGTTGTTTGTTTTACGTTTTGTTTCATTTGTTTTGATACATTTTTTTACATTTGTTTGTGATTCTTTTCTTATTCTTTGACAAATATTGTTTTATTTTCTTTGATATTTGTCTTTCGTCTTGTTTCATTCCTTTGTGAAATAATGTTTTGTTTTCATTGTTGTTTAGTTTGTTTTCTTTGTCTAATATTGTTTTGTTTCTTTTTAATGTTTGTTTTTTATTTTCTTTGCGACAAAAATTATTGTTGAAATTTTAGTTTTCGTTTTTCTTTGTTTTTTATTTTCTTTTGATTGTTTTGTTATTGACTTTGTTTCTTTTTACAAAAATTATTTTATGGTTTCCTTTCGTTTAGATTTGATTGCTTTGTTTTTTTTTTTGTTTTTCGTTTTGTGTTTTCTGTGTCAAATATTGTTTTCCTTCTTTTTTATTGTTTGTTTTTTATTTTCTTTGACAAAAATTGTAGAAATTTGTAGTTTTTGTTTAGCTTTGTTTTTTTATATCCTTTGTAAATAATATTTTGTTTTGGATTTTGTTTTCTTTGACAAAAATTGTTATTTTCTTTGTTTTGGATTTTGTTTTCTTTTACAAAAGTTGTTATTTTCTTTGTTTTGGATTTTGTTTTCTTTGACAAAAATTGTTATATTCTTTGTTTTCGTCTTGTTTTGTATTTTATTTTTATCGGCAAATATTGTTTTGCGTCTTTTTATTGTTTGTTTTTGGTTTTCTTTGATAAAAATTGTGGTATTTATTTTTAGTTTTCGTTTTGCTTTGTTTTTTGTTTCCTTCGAAAAAATTTGATTCTGATTTTATTTTCTATGACAAATATTGTTCTGTTTACATTTCATTTGGTTTGTTTTTTTCTTCTTTGGAAAATATTGTTTTTTTTTGTTGTTGTTGTTTGTTTTCTTTAATAAATATTCTTTTTTTTAAATAGTTCTTATTCTAGAACAAATTCATTTAAAAAAAAAAAAAATTTCTTATATTGAAAACTTACAGAAAATTCCTTTTTTGTTGGGGGGGGGGAGAGAAACATGTAAAAACTACGTAAAACGTAAACTTGCGCTTCTTAAACTTGACTTTGAATTATGAAAGGTTGTATGATTAAAATGAAGAGAAGAGTAAAAGTAGAGATAGGGTTTTAGAACAGGGTTGGGGTGGGGGGAGGGGGAGAAGTAAAAAAAAATGAAAATAATATTTCCATGGAGCGCGCTCTCTCGTGAAATGTGAAGGAGCCTCTCTCGAAGGTTTCTCTCAGTCAGGCCTTGTTATGCTACTTGGTTTATGAGACTGTCCATTGGCGTAGTATATAGTTATGTGTTTGCGTGCCTCGCAAGAGAGTAGTACCTCTATACACCTACCTCTGCTGCTCTGCCCCATTCCGTAACTTTATAAGAGTTTCGAACGCAAACAATCGAAAAATTCTTTGATGTCGCCGCCGATCTGTTAAATTAATAAAAAAAAAAGAAAAATAAAAAAATTTTCTTCTTTTCCTTACGATAACGCAGAAACTATTATACAAAATAAAATCTTTTTTATTTATTTATCCAACGCGCTTTTGACTCTAATCTTAGAAATGTTTGGAATGATAAATGTTTATCTCGAATACTATCTAAAATTACGTGAATAGATTATATATCTTACTTGATAGTGTATACAACTGATGTTTTCAATCAATTTAACACTATCAGAAATATTTTTCTTTTTTTCTCCATATTTTTCTCTTCTCTTTAAATTTAATAATAAATATTGTACGTGTTTGATAGGCAAACACACTTTTTATAGATTTTTTTCATTATTATCGTTAATTAGTTTTTTTTTTTATTATTATTTGTATGACACAATGTTTAAAATATGGGGATTAAATTTTTTATGTTAATTTTTGTTTTTTGAAAGTTTCCACTTTAAAAATTAATTTTTGTTTTGCAAAAACAATTTTTGCAAAAAAAAAATTAATTTTGAATAAAAAAAACCCACTTTTGGTGAATAAGTAGGAGAGGGGGGAGAAAGAGAGAAGAGGGGGATATAAAGTCTGATGTCGGAAAAGATGAAAGTAACCGATGCAACGTATATATATATATATATATAAAGGGACCCAAACAGAATCCTTTTGGAGACTTTTCAAGTCCGAATTTCTTCGAGTTAACCACACGACGGTTGATTTTGCTAATATACGAAACGAGAGCTCTGTTTATAATGCTGCCGGGTAACTTCTAAGTTTGCGTGTGTACTAAACTTGAGAAATGCAAAAATTTTACACAAACACACACTCTCTGTTAAATATATGCCTATGTATATGTAAAAAGATTAACATCTTGGAATTGAAACGTGCACGCCTTTTTCCCTTAGTACAAAAGAATATACATTTTAAGGCGCACACACTACATTTGATAAAAACAACTTTCTGTAAATGGGCCGACAATTTTCATTTAAATTTTCTTTTAGAGAATTCATAGAAGCGTATCTAGGTTTTCAACCACAACATCTTTTAGTGGAGGAAACGTTATGATAATGATAATAATAATAACAACAATAATAATGATAATAATAATAATAATAATAATAATAATAACAATAATTATAATAATTATAAATATATAATCATTATTATATTAATAAATTTAATAATAATAATAATAAATGCATTTTATTAAGCTAAAGAAATTTTTGACAAATTATTGAGCCGAATTATTTATGCCAAATTAGATTAAACAAAAAATATATTTAGCAAAAAGTATATTTAGCAAATACTAAATAAAGCCAAAACTAATGTTTAGCAAAAAATATATTTAGCAGACCGATAATTTAGCCAAAACTAATATTTAGCAAACATAATATTTAACAAAAACAGTTTTTAGCAAAATAAATATTTTCATTGTCAACAATTATTATTTAGGAAAAATTATATTTTGCTTACCGTATGTTAAGCCACATTAAGCCAAAATAATATTTAGCAAAATAGATATTGGTAAAAATTATTTATATTTTCATTGGCAAATTTATCAAAAACAATTTGTCATTATTCTGAAAAATTGTATTTTACGAAAATAATATTTAGAAAATATTACGTTTGGTCAAAATTATATTTTAGCAAATGTTGAATCTAGCGCAACAAAAATAGTTAAAAAATTATAGCTCTCAAAAACTGTATTTAAGAAAATTATATTTAACAAAAAAAAAACATATTTAGCAAAAATAATATTTAGTAAATACAGTATTTAACAAAAAGAAACTGTATTCATTAGCAAGTAAATTTAACAAAAAATTATATTTTATGTTCATTTAGCCAAATTTTGCTTAAATTTTATTTAGCAAAAATAGTTTTTAGCAAAATAGTTATACTAGTAAATAAATTGATATTTAATAGCCATTGTATTTTGCAAAAACTATCTTCTAAAAACTTGTATATTTACAAATATTATATTTAGCGAAAAATATATTTAGCAAAAGTCGTATTTAGCAAAAATGGAATCATCCATAACAATAATTGTTAAAAAAATATATTTTATAGCAAGAATATTTAGCAAAAAGTATAGTTGTTAAATACTACGTAAAGCAAAAAGTATATTTAGTAAAAATAATGTTTAGCCAAAACCGTATTTAGCAAAAAAAAACTTTATTTACAAAAAAACTTTATTTATTAGCGACTATATTTAATAAAAATTATATTTAGAGAAAGGGATAAAAATCATATAATAAGTACGTTTAAAAATAAGAAATTGCAGAAATGAAAATTTACTTGATAATTTAGCTAAATAAAAATTATTCTACCAAAAAGTACAATTTAGCTATAAATAAAAGCCTGCATGTTTTTATACACTCAGCTATTTAATTATTAAACTAAAGAAAAATTCGGTTTAATAAAAATAGTATTTAGGTAATAAAAATTTTAGTTTAATAAAAATTCGGCTTAATA